GAAATGAAAAAGTCGCCGGATGCCGAGTCTGATGATGGAGGTGGATGAGGAAACCATAAAGTAAAGTACTTGCAAAGTTTTGCAGATGCTGAAGTTGAGATTTGTGCTGTTGTTCTGAATATACAAAACATTAGTATGTTGTATACAATAAAAGCTTTTATAATTTCGCAGTTTTATTTTTATACAGACTATCTCAAAAAAGCAGCGTATTCAATTCCTTAGTATGACCTGAAATGTTTACATCAATCTCTTAATTTATATGTATAAGAAGTTGCATGCCTCTCCCCTCAGACTTGAAATGTTTAAATGTCCTTAACATTTACATAACATGAGCCTGCTGGCCGATCTTTAAATCTGTAGTTAACGGTTTGGTGATATGTAAGAGCGATGCATAAGATATGACATATGGTCAGTGAAAGTTACTTGTTAGGTTGGAAATGCAATTGTCTCATATTAGAATTTGCATGACTTATTTCATAAATCTTGTATTTATATCAGGAATCACCAGGTAACTTTAAAATAATGTAAAAATCTTAAATTGCAGAATGCAGTTGGCCCTAAGGAAATTTGCTGTTGATGACTCCTCAGTATCTGGTTACATATATCATAGGTTGCTTGGTCATGATGTAGAGGAAGTCTTGTTTCGCTGTCATCTACCAAAACATTTTTCAGCGCCTAATCTTCCAGACCTGAACCGTTCACAGGTAGGAGAACTTCTGTGATATGGCAAGTTCACTTGTGAAATGAAACAACTTCCATATTGGCAGAACAACGAATTCTTGTTTGTTATTGAAGTAGTCTGACATTTGTACATTCTTTGTGTGATATTCGTAAAATAAATGCAAAGTAGGTTGTATATATCTGTCTGTCTGTCTCTCTGCTGCTTGTGTGTATATATAAAGCTTGTTATTTCAAGTGTCTCCACTAAAAGTTTTCACGTGAATTTTGCTTTTGTCCATGACAATTTTCCGTGTTCAAATCGGATTTGTCTCACAAAATTTTAAAAGTAGATATCAATAAGTATATTTTTTTAGTGAGGCATATTTAACAAAATACAAGGAGAATAATAATTTGTCTCGGAGCATAGTACAGTATTTCTACAGTTGAGCAACTTTATTAATGATAGAGTCGTATATTGACTGTGTAGGTTTATGCAGTGAAACATGCAGTTCAGCGTCCACTGTCACTAATCCAAGGTCCACCAGGAACAGGCAAAACTGTCACATCAGCCACCATCGTTTACCACCTGGTGAAGCAGAGCGGTGGCTCCGTCCTAGTTTGTGCTCCTTCCAATATAGCTGTTGACCAGCTGACTGAGAAAATTCACCGAACAGGGCTTAAAGTGGTGCGTCTTTGCGCCAAATCCCGCGAGGCCATTGAGTCTCCTGTCTCATTCCTTGCTCTCCACAATCAGATACGCAACATGGATTGGTGAGTAGTCAGTATTTGATTTGTTTCCTAAAACAAAATTTACAGATAATTCTTGTGTGTGCTTTTAAATATATACAAATACCTACTGTTCCTGTCAACCATCAAGCAATTTTATTGCTTTATAACGATTCCATAAATTCCGCTGATGGATTCGTATCAGTAGAGAAGAAAGGAATAATCCAATATTCATTGTAGAAAGTATATAAATCCCTAATAATGTCAATTAGAAATTTTGTGCCAAGTCCACAGTATCCGTAATTGATAAGGAGAAACTTCATAATGGAAATAGCTTTCGAATTTATAATTTTATTAGAAAATTAATGTATCTTGCAAACAGTGACTTCTACCATTACAGGAACCCGAGAAAAATTCCTGTACCGTTGCAGTTGAGTCTCTGACTAACTTGATTTAGGCTGGGAAATGCACAAATATTCTGCATAGATGTTCTATGTGTTATGCAGCATAATTGTAATATCTTTGTTGTATAAACTATTCACTTTAAGATTACTTCTAGCAATGATAAAAAGTAGAAATTTTGATAACTAAACTGCTGGACTGGATTTCAATATTTTAACAGGTTTAAACCCATACTGACACCATAGTATTTGGGGAACCTCATAGTGCATTGGAATTGTATAAACTCTTACTGAAAATAAAATATTCCTGTTCTCATGCTGCAGTGTTATCTAAAGTTACTTTCTCTGCAGCCATTAAAGTTTATTTTTGGAGGCTTGTCCAGAGTTGTTTCGCCCAGTAACTCAGAAAGTAAATACAAACAAAAGCAAAATGTACTGATAATCGCTTTAAAATCCCATCTCTGATCCTGTCGTAATCCTCAGAATAGTCACCATGCTGAAAGTTTAAGGGGACTTACGTTTTCTTTACAGTAACACTGAGCTACAGAAATTACAGCAACTTAAAGATGAGACTGGAGAACTTTCATCTGTAGATGAGAAGCGTTACCGAATGTTGAAGAAAGCAGCAGAGAAGGAGCTCCTTGAGGCAGCCGATGTGATATGCTGCACCTGCGTGGGAGCCGGTGATCCCCGTCTCCAACGATTGAAGTTCCACTCAATTCTTATTGATGAGAGCATGCAGTCCACCGAACCAGAATGTATGGTTCCAGTTGTCTTAGGAGCCAAGCAGGTAATTCCTGTCTACCTAATTTAGTCTGTAAAGTATTCTTACTGTTAATCTATCACCCATCTAGAAATTTTAGTCTATCATCTGTCCAGCAATTTCTGTGTGTGATGAGTAAGGAACTTTTACCTGGGGGTTTATCAACCCACCACAGAATGCCCAACGTAGTGGAACTGAGACTCTGATTTTGGTTTGTCTGTCCCCAAGGAGTTGCCTTCCCTATGACAACTGGGCTGAACTACTCTTTTGGAATAACAAGTGCGACTCACACACGTAAAACTGAGGTATTTATCAAAAAATGGGGAAGAAATCAGTTGTGTTGTGTTTAAAAGTTATATCCCTGATTTTACTTGGAGAGATTGAGGAAAGCTACAACCCCACGTGAACTAACTTAATTTGACCATGTCAGTGAAAGAGAAAATAAAATTTCAAGCGGTCTAAGATGATATTTTTAAGACGAGTGTCTAATGTGACGTTCAGCAATGATAAATATAAACCTCAATTTATACACTTAAAAACTAATGAAAAGACGAGTGAGTTTAAAAATAATTTGTTGATTGTCCAGTATATAGCTAGAAATTGATGTAACATGATCATTAAATTGTTTTTCTTCTGTTGCCAATTTCTCTTTTAAAGTGACACCAGTGTGGAATGTTATGCATTCATTTGTTAAACATTTTATATTCTATATTCCATTATCTTATTTATTCAGCTGATCCTTGTCGGAGACCATTGCCAGCTGGGTCCTGTAGTGATGTGCAAGAAGGCGGCTCGTGCTGGCTTATCACAGTCATTATTTGAGAGATTGGTTGTTCTGGGGATCCGTCCATTCCGGTTGGAAGTACAGTATCGAATGCATCCTGAACTGTCTCGTTTCCCCTCCAATTTTTTCTACGAGGGCTCCCTCCAGAATGGTGTTTGTGCAGGTATGTATTGAGAGAAGCATAATTGTGAATTCACTGATGAATAACTCATTTAACCAATAGTAAGCTTTTCATATAATATTTGAACACAAACAAATAACAGTATGAAATATTGTGTGATATGTGACAGATCTGTTAGCCGTGATACTTTGATTAAGTGCCGAGCAGTTGGGATTGGTAGGGAGACGGACTTGTTTCTTTTTCCATTATGTGCAAACTAGCACTGGGGCTTACACCGCTTTCTGACGAGATCTTGGAGCTCGCTACATCTAGCATGGTATTAAGACATGCAGTATTTAATCCTTTGAATGAATAATATGTACACAGCTGTGATGTGTGACTGTGCAAACTAGCACTGGGGCTTACACCACTTTCTGACGAGATCTTGGAGCTCGCTTCATCTAGCATGGTATTAAGACATACAGTATATAATCCTTTGAATGAATAATATGTAAACGGCTGTGATGTGTGACTTTGAATGCTTTACTTTTACAGAGGAACGCAAACTGACCAAAATTGAGTTCCCGTGGCCACAGCAGGACAAGCCGATGTTCTTTTATGTGACACAGGGTCAAGAAGAAATTGCAGGGTCGGGAACTTCGTATTTAAATCGTACTGAAGCCTCTAATGTGGAGAAGCTGGCGACACGCTTCTTGCGTTGCGGTGTAAAACCCGAACAGATCGGTGTTATTACCCCTTATGAAGGACAGCGAGCTTACTTGGTGAGTTTAATATTAATTGAGTGTAAAATAATTTTCATCAATCAGTTTGTTCATAACAGACATACTGCTCACTTTGGTATATTTTTATTCATCAAGGCAAATGCTTTGCTTTTAGATTATTGCATGACTCATGTTGGTAAAATGCTTTAATGATTGCAACAGATCTGTAGTGATGGCCAGCAAAAAAGAGAGTGTAGCTTAGCATTGAGGGAAGACATTTTTGCCTAAGAACACTGTTTCAAATGCAACCTCCACTTGTAAATTACGTATTTTACAGGGTTTTTGATCTGTTGGATGTGCTGTACCATTGTGATTTGTATGTGTTTTTTTAAACAGGTTCAGTATATGCAGTACCAAGGGTCTCTTCATGCTAAGTTGTACCAGGAGATTGAGGTGGCAAGTGTTGATGCATTCCAAGGCAGAGAGAAGGATTTAATTATTATGTCATGTGTCCGTTCTAACGAACATCAAGGGATTGGATTCCTCAATGATCCACGGCGTCTCAATGTAGCTCTTACCCGTTCAAAATATGGCATCATTATTGTTGGAAATCCAAAAGTGCTATCTAAGGTATTGTGAATGTAGTTTTGCCTATAATAATGCTGCATTTTAGAAGATGTCCTTATTCCTGTCATGTCACAGCAGGATTCAGTATACCCCTGCTTACAAAAATGGATGGCCTCTGGTGTTCTATTGTTTTAAAATATATCTGGGACTTTTTAAGTGTACCAAGACTAGATAAATATCAATTTTTAGTTTTCCCACAATGTTTACTGTGCTCAGAACACTATCTATCTTAAATTTGCATTACTGCATGTGTTTGCTCTGATTTGCAGCAACCACTGTGGAATCATCTGCTTAATTTCTACAAAGAACAGAAAGTTCTGGTAGAAGGACCATTGAACAACTTGAAAGAGTCGCTAATCCAGTTCTCAAAACCCAAGAAGCTTGTAAATGCAGCTAATCCTGGGACACACTTCATGTCCACATCTGTGTATGATGCACGTGAGGCTCTGGTCCCGGGAAGTGTGTATGACCGAACGGGGCATATGAATGGTACATCTGCACCGTCCCACTTCTTCCCCAGACCAAGTAAGTATTGTCTGCAAGAGACGTCAGTGGCCGGGTTTTGTTGAGTTTTGAGATGCAGTAAAATGGCAGTAATTGGAAGAAGTGTTGTGAAGAATGTCTAAGGAAAATTTGAAATGTGATTTTTGATTTGGCATAGTTTATTGATCTCACCCCACTGTCATATGAATGCTCATAAAAATATATGTTAAATTGGTTGAATGTACAATGGTTCTTGTTAATTTATCGCTATTTTTCCCTTATCTATACAAATAATTAGTTACTGCTTATCACAGTCCTTTAGAGACTATAACTTAGTCCCACAGTATTCTTATGTTTTGTTACCTCCATAAGCTTACATGATTGGCAGAATAAATTGTTCACATTCAAGAATATCAAATTTTCAAATTTCTCAGCTGAAATTAGCAAGAAATGAGCAGGTACACAGAGTACCTTGTATAGTCCTTGCCTGCTTTCTGGTTGCTCAAAACTGTGCACATTGAAACTGAAAACTCTTCTTTAGTATAAAAAATTTATCCTGTTGATATTTAATTATCTCAACATTTTATTTTTACAGATGGTGGAGGCGTCGCAGTGGATATGTATACTCGGACTCATGATCCGATAAGCTACATCTCACCAGAGAGAGCACAGGCCGCACTTTCAAACCTTCCTGTGCCTGTTGGGATGTTTATGAATATGGCACATGTCCCACCTCGCTTTTATAACCAACATCAACAGGCAGTGCAAGGTAAGACTTGATAATCTAATTTACGTTAATCAACATCTGGTCGTGTATTAAACCATGTGACCTGTTACAGTGTTAAGTCTCTGGGCTGAGATTTCAAGAAGTGAAATTTGTTTCTTGCACCCTAAATTCTCCAAAAAATGTCCACTCCTTTACGTGTCGGACAATTTCCATCAAAACAGAAGCCAAAGTATTCTGTAATAGAACTCTGCACACAGTCAGATAGCTATTGATTTTTTTACCAGTTTCACACTCCTTTAGGGTGTACCTATTTGAACCCTTTTTTGCAAACTGAAAGGCCTATTAAATTCTAATACGTTGTTATCTAGCACGTCAGAACCAGCGAAATCGTGCTGCAACTCGCAACAAGGTCAAGAATAGTCGCAATAATGTAGCCAAGAACAGCTTGACATCTGGACAAGGGAGTCAAGATGCCACTCAGCCATACAGTCCACTCACACAGGGAATGTCTCAGGTAAGTGCTTCCTCATTGTTTGTATTATAAATAAGTCCTGTAGTACGATCTGTTTTTTGTTGTAATTAACATATAATTTAATTACATCCATAATTTAATTTGGTTCTACAAAAGAAGAAAATGTGAGGTTCAACCATGCATTAATTTTACTTCCTTGTTACAGAGCATGTCTCAGCCTGGGTTCAGTTTGTCTCAGCCAGGTCTTTCCCAGCCAGAACTGTCTCAGGATAGCTATATGGTGGGCGAGTATCAGTCACAGATGGATGGACTTCTCTCTCAAGATTCTACATATCAGGGAGATCGCTCGGCTTTCTACCCGGGCCCATCACAGGGAGGACAGTTCTCTCAGGTGAGCTGAAATATCACATCTCTAAAGAAATGCACATGTAACCACAATTTAGTTTACTTGATGGGGTAAAGGGCCTGTAAATCAATTACTGCAGGCCTCAAAATGTATCCTGATGTTAACACTGCCCTTTGTTGAGTTGAAGAAAAAATTATTTTGGCCCCCTCCTCCCTATATATCAACACCAGCTCTGTTTTTTCTTGATGGTATGAATTTGTACTCTTATCCTTAGCCATACTGAGTAAATGGGCGGTGACTGGTTCGCGGAGCGTCGCGGGAGCGGCACGACACGACAGAATAACCCGGGCCAGCAAGGGGCGACATCTGACCCGGCCTGCATGGATGAGAGAGGGAATCAAACCAATCAGCCAAGCATTCCAGCAAATGGCTACTGCAGGAAAGCAGGATGAGGGAGGACAATCGCTACCCACCGGAACCGGAAACCGACCCCGGAGAGGAGGAGAAGACACCTACCAGATAACTGCAGCAAGACCAATGCATGTGGAGGCACATGCTCCTAAGTACAGCTGATAATGCAATACTCATGAGTGGCTGCAATGCAGGGCCTCAGGCTGCAGCTGCAGTTACGCTACAGTGCAAAACTGATAGCTTTTAAAGAATATGTTAGAAAGATTGGCATTCTTGTGTGGAATTGGAAAATCAGTTGAGTATGTCTACTTTTAGAAGAGTCTAACACAATCTTTGTTTCTGGTAAATTACCAATCGTGAAAGTCAAGCTAGACTTACTGAAACTTCAGTTTTAAATGTTTAGTTCCATACATTTGTTTACTATTATACAACAGTTTTTCATTGGTAAATCACAAGTTGAGGATGGATTGGACTCTGTTTCCACTGTTTTATTCAGCAAGTAATGTCTAATAAAGCTTTTAGGAATTTAAATTTTGGCACCTTTTCCAGATTTTGATTAACAAGTAAATGTGATTTTTTTTGTCTTATCTTTCTCACTTTGGAATTAGTGTCATGTTAGATACATATAGATGAAAAAGAATATTGGTTATCCAAGTCACCATTATATTATCAATCCATGATGATTGAGATAATTTTTTAAGGAGGGGGCACATTCAGTGGTATATTCTGTACATTATAATGGCAAAGAAATAATTGGCATTTATGTGTCTTAGAAGTACATTACAGATCTGTAGGAATGGCGTCAAGTCATAGTGTAGACTGTTCAATTTAAATTTTAAATTCTCTTTCCCCCCCCACCACTACAACACACATATTTTACTTCTTACGCATTGAATACTGGGCAGTTTGGTTTTCATTAAAGAAGGAAGACCGGGTTAATTTTGTAGACTATGATTGTATTCCAGAGTAAATGTTTTGTATGACTTGCAAGTTGTAGGTACTTAGCAAGTCTAAACTGAGTTTTGACATGCCTGTTAATATTATTCACGCTTCCCATAGTTCTCATGGTTAAAGTGTTAAACTGGTTTCTAAGCAAATGCATTGTGAAAATGCGACAAGATATTTGGACTGCACGTACTGTTAAGGCAGATTTTGTAAATGAAACTTCAAGAACTTGGGTGATCAAATTTTTGCGGTTGATTTGTTGTTGTTTATGTTTTGGATTCTATTTGAATATTATATACTGACTTGGATAAGCAAAGTTCCAAAGTGTGATAATTCATTGTGTTTGTTCCATTACAAATTCTATTTTGGGGACAAGGTGGGCATTTAATTTGAATTAAATCAATATGCTGATGTAGGTCATTATTGTACTGTTAAAAATTATGACCGTTCATTTGTATTATTTGGTGGTCTTGGTAAAATTAAACTGAAAATTGTTCTTACTTCATAACTGTTTGTCCATTGCATTATGTGACCCTTTTCTTGTTTTTCTTCTTCCTCCTCCTCCTCCTCCTCCTCCCCCTTCACCAGTACAGACTTGCTACATATTTGCCCTTTCAGATATTATTTTCTTTCCTTACACTTAGGCATGGTTTAAAAATTAACTACTTTCAAGGTTTGCATTTTTTCTAAATATATGTTTGTTGTTTAAAGAAATGCTCTTTTGTTTATTTCAAAATTGAACTTTCTTGTATTCCTTTTGGTCAACATGGAAATATTTGGTTATAATTCGTGGTTTAATAATTCCGTCTTTCTCTTTTGATGTCATTGTGTTTACTGTAGATACATTTATTTTAATACTGTGAATTCAGTTTACCTAATCTTTTATTGTATTTACCATAATTTTGTTTAGCTTGCATTTCCTCGCTATCATTCGTAATTCCGGGTGCCTTGGTATTGAACTTGGATTTGTATACATTTAATTTAAAAAATCAACTGAAGTCCACTTACAAAATTATGTTTAGTAGATATCAACAACATAACGAACCGAGTGCTGAAATTTAAAAGCTAACAGTTATTATTTGTCACTTATGGCATAATATTCATACAAATGTTCATTTATTTCTGTGCAGCCATTCTCTAGTTATGGAATGTGTACAGATGAATGAGGTTAGGTTGGATTAGGTTTGTGATGGACATGTTCTGAGAATTATGAATAATGTCATAATGAGACGTCAACCTCAAGTAGCCGGCCAAATTTCTTTAAAACCTTATTACTAAATGTGTACTGACATAATCAGTGTAGGTTTTGTTAGGTTAGGTAAGAAAATTTTTACTTCACAGAAGTGGAACTGACAGTGTCAAGGTTTCATGTATTGGATTTTTGGCGTCGTAGTGAATTTAGTGTCTTAGTTTCGTATGTACGGTACCTCTCACTTGTAAATATGGTCCGTATTAAAAATTGCTAAATTATTTTCCAGGCTACCATATGTGCCTTGAGTATTCTGATATTTCGGATAACCTGTACATATTCATTGTACTGTACTTGTTAATGTAATGTTAGCCCTTTGTGTCCAATGTAACATCCAGAGAAATCGGGACATTGTCATTTTTATTTTACACTTCTGTTGTCAGATATTCAGTGGTTGGTTTAGTCTTTTCTTCACATTACTGGCCGCGTGGTTTCTACCCAAGGACAGCCAAAACGTTCTCAGAAGCGCTGTGGTCACTTCACTTGTCTTTAGTTGGTTAGGACAGGTGAACATGGCGACATTTCGATAGACTTTGTGTAAGGTAAGTTGTCGATGTAAATTCTTGCGACTAACATTTCCTTATATCTGTGAAATGTACGTATGTGGTATGGATTTGGATGTCCATCTAACATGTGCGTTGCAGGACGAAGTGTTTCTTCTTCTCAGTTGAATTTTAATTCCATATAAATAATATTAATCCGAGGAAGTCTGGTTATAGTTATTTAGAGTCACTCAAACGTGACAATTATACATTATTGATTGAACCTTCTTGTATTTGGTGTTTCAGAATAGGTGCGTATACTGTGTGTAACTCTTTTTGCTGTTTCAGCAACCATACTTTATGAAACATCTATACATCATGGTAAGATTTAAAATTACGTTTGGAACAGCCAATAAAAACAAGTGTCTATTGATTCTCTAAGTTAAAAATCCGTTTTTGTATGTTTTAGATTTCGATTAATTTCTATGGTTCTAAGGTTATACGATGTATTTCAGTCTGTCATCAATTGTAAGAAGAAGACACTGGAAGTTAGTGGAGGTATATGTTGTAGACTTATATATAGTACCTAATTGACTTTGAATTAATTATGGTTTAAGGTATTTTTGTGTATGCAGATTGTTTTCATGATAATATATTAATTCTGGATACATGTTAAATCAGTAAATAACAGATATGTACTGCCGAATACAGTGTATAATAAAAATATAGATAAATCAGTAAATAACAGATATGTACTGTTGAATACAGTGTATAATAAAAATATAGTGGAGGGTAAAAATTACATTAACTTGTACTGTTCTCTTATTAATGTGACATTCTGTTGCAGGAAATATGTGGAATGCTTCAAATTAACTTTGCCATATCAAGAAACAGTGGGCCATAACTTTAATCCTCATTTGTATAAAGGCTGTGATATATACGGGTAGTGGATCAGAGTCTACAGGCAGTAGTGACTACATCAGGAATTGAGGCAGAAGAATGTTTGAAAATTTTACCTTCATTCAAATATAGGATTGAACACTCATATATAGGACTTCCCAACAGCAAAAACTACAACTTTATTAATGTTTTTAGCACAAGATCTTGTGCACTTTCTTCCAAACTGAATATGAATTATTGTAAAGAACTATTATTTATAGTGCCAAGTATTAGGTCTTTTCTTGTAAATATTTAATTTACTTTGCTTTTTGTGGGAAGTGTATCAATTGATACATTACAAAAAGTTAAGATCCAACATTGTATATGCTGTGCAAAGAAACATTCTCAGTAGATGTAATATGGAAAAGACAGGATAGTATCTTTTATTCTGTTTATGTCTTTTTTTCATACCTCCAGTACTTGCTTCATCTGAATACAGACCTGATTGGAAGGCAATGTATCATGCAATGTTCTCATCTCGTATGGTAGTAAATTTTGTGGATCAACAGCAGCAACACCACAACCACCATCACAATAACTTATCTGATACAAATAATAATAATAGTAGTAGTAATCGGCAGAACCGAATTCTGTCCAGTAACTGCTACAGTCACAGTCCCTTTGAGCACCCATATCCTCTGGAGTTACTGCAATTAATGGGCCTGGAAATGCCTCCAGTGCGCAACCGAAGTTACAACAACCATCCTGGTGGAAGAGGAGGGGGAGGCTGGAGGGATCGTGGTAACCTTCATGGTTCTAGCTCTTCTTTGATGCCACCTCCTGTTTCTGTGGGATTCCGCCCTTTAGTACATAACTCAACTATGAAGAGAAATTCCTGGAACAAAAACAATGGAAGGTAAGTGCTGAAGAAATGCTGCTGCTCAAACCAAGCTTATGAAATGTTGCAGGTTTTGCACACTTTTTGTGCATGTATGGAATATAAAACCATTTGGAGCACACTGGTCTACCAGTGTGCTCCACATTCTTCTGCCTGTGAAATCTTTTGTCATCAGCCTTTCACTTCCTGTCACTGGATCCATCCGTCATCTTGTGTATTTAGCATTCTATAATTCACAAGTCTATAATTTTTATTACTTTTGTAGTTATTATTATTAAGTGTTCTGTCTTACGACAGGTCCATTGCTCTGCCCAAAAAGAGCTCTCCAGTTGTCCCTATTCTCGGCTTCTCGCTTTAATTCCTGGAACGTCATCTTCTTTCCTTGTTTAAGGTCGTCGGTTAGCTGTATCAATCTTCTTCCTAGTCCTCTCTTTCCTTCAACCTGGCCATCGGTGATATCACTCATTAATCCATTCCTTCTCATAATATGTCCCAGCCAGTTACCTTTCCTTCGTGTAATCGCCTGCAGAATGCTTCTTTGCTCGTTGACTCTCCTCAATACTTCTTCATTGGTCACTCGATCCGTCCACGTGAGACAAAAGTCCACATATCTCTTGTAATTTATTTTCTCGTACACCCTTCAGTTTTAAAATCAAGACCCCATCCAAAACATAAAATGGGTTACAACAGCTTGGTCACGATTTTAGTGCAAGAATGGCATACAGTCATGTTGGACCAAGCAGCAACGGCTTTGGATCACAGTAATGTGACAGTGACCTATATGAGGCATGAAGAACACCTTTGGAATAGTAGTGTACTCAAAAGAGTACATCCTTTTTTGTCTTGTTTAATGTTTTTGCACCTGGTGACACCTAATAACATTAGGAATGAATGTCCACCATCTGTTTACCATGATACATGAGCAGTTCTGTGGTGCAATTCTTGTTGTGTTTATGTTTTAAAAAGAGGGCATAAACTAAAAATTATTACTCTCAAAAGTAGTAGACAGTTTTGCCCCCTAGGATTTGTTAAGGCCTGGTTTAATGTATTTGAGGAACTACTAATTTTGTTCATAAATAAAATTTCATAGACCACCGAGATGTAGTCAGCGGGATCCATTAGCATCCAACTCAGATCTGTCTTATAACTCAAGTTCTGACTCGGGTTTCTCGTCTCGATCCCCTACTCCCAGTAAGCAGCAGTTACAACAGTCTGCACTTTCTGATGTGAGCGCGCTACAGGCCACTGGTGAGGAGTCTGATGATACCAAGGCTGGCACTAGTTCATTGGACTGTAAAGGAGTCAAGTAAGCAAAGCCTTTTAGTGCATGAAACCAAGAGCATACATGTGTTGCTGAAAGAAACTTTTTGCGTTTATTGTTCAGACACTTCTGACCCATTTCAAACAAATTTATATTCGCAATATACAGTGTGCTTCACCAGGTCATTGTTTTGTTTTTTGACTGTCCTGAGTCCATTATTAATAGTTAATTATGCCATAGCAGACTTCAGAAATATGTAATAATTGTAAAATGTTGGGTGCAGTATATATTTTATAAGTTGTAGCACCTCAGTATTTTGTTAACGCAAAGAATTATGTTTAGACGTCTACATGAGGTATATGGCACACCAGTCCATAACAGTGCAGTTGAAAATGGTCACAGCCATCAGCAGCAACATCAGCAACCATATTTCCATAAACACTCGGCATCTGCACAGTCAATACAGACACTGCATGGTCTTCAGTTCTATGTAAGTTATTCATTGTAATAAATGTAATTAAATTGATAGAACTGGCAGATCCTCTGTGTTAGATATGGTCGAGAAATTTATTAAGAGAATTTAGTCGTCGGCTGTGTCGTACAGAGGTTCTCATCGGCTTATAAAATTTCTCACCTGGCAGATTTTGTATTAAAATTGCAAATCTGAAAGTTGGTGACAAGTAAGGCATAGTTTTGGTTTGGAAGAATGGACAGAAAATGTTTAATTCTTTTACACTGATTTTTTTTAACAAAAGCTTCAGAAAATAATTTTCATTTACATTATCTAGAATTTAAGTGGATTGGTCGGCTATAATCCCCTTTTCATAATTGGTAATAGATCCCTTGTATTGTCCGCGAGGCACGAGAGTAGACCTGGCCTTATCAGTCATTGTTTATGTGGCAGGGGGAAAGTGGGTTCTGCGCATGCACTGGTGATGTATTCCTTACCTAAGAACATTGTGCTGTCAGTCAGTCAGTACATTACCTCACAATGTATGGCCTGTATAAGCTTGGTGTGTTTTTCTGTCCGCTAGTAGCACAGAATTCTACCCCACCTCCAAAGATGTCAGGTCTACTCTTGTGCCTCGCGGACAATACATGCAGTGTGGTCGTGTCTCAATTATTTTTACTGTTATGAAGACATGAATTTGTTGCTTCCCTCCACCTTGGATAAACGGATACCACTCAGTGCTGCAAACTTGAGTACAGTGCTCTTAAATGGTTGGTGGTTAGGTATTCTGTAGTGGTTGTATGATTTTTCAGCAGCGACAACAATCTTGGCATCCTGGACTAATTCGGAATGAGAGCCCCTATCTAAGCAAACGACGTTACCATTCTGGCAGACATTCCCCACCATTACCAGTACCTCCTCATCGCCATTCACGTGGAGGACGCAGACTCAATGAAATCCTGTTTCCTCTGTCTGGTGGACTTGGACTGCCAGTTTTTGTTGCTGCCGACCAACTTCTTTCTCGTGCATATCTCATGCAGGTTACTTGTACACCGCCACAGCTTATCTCTGGCTGTGACTGGGATAAGGTAGCAAGTGCACTACCTCTCTAGCTTAAGAGTGTGCAGTGTTTCACACCCTAATTCTAAAACTTATTTTCTTAGCTTGTGCAATTTTTATTGTTAATCACTAATTCTTTTATGTGAAATTAGTCTCCTTGGGTTGCATGAGTTAGTAAAATTACTTAATAGATACAGGCATTGTTTATAGCATAAATAATATTTAAACTTATACAATGAATAGCATTTATTACATACACATTTTCAGTATTGGTACTAATCGCATATACTGTACATTAATCAGATCTTAGCTGTCATCACGAAGGATCGTTGCTCATCTACTCTCATATCCATAGAATATCAATATAAGAATATTTCTGGTTTAAGTCATATTATCTTTTGTTAGTGGTAGTAAAAGCATTGGACATTAGATTTCACATCTTATAGGTATTGCATTATTACAAAATGTAGTTTACGTTAAGAACAGAGGTCTTGCTTCAGAAAAGGGACATTAGATTTCACATCTTATAGGTACTTCATTATTACAAAATGTAGTTTACTTTAAGAACAGAGGTCTGGCTTCAGAAAACAACTGGTTAAATTTTGGGCAATAACCATAACATGTTGATTTGATACTTAATGGATAAACATTTTTGGATTTTTTGTTTTCACAGAATTTTTTCACTTTTTACATTTTTTTTATAAGAAATGTAAACTAAGCTGGCACTGTATTTTTGAATGAGAATAAGATAAAATCTCATCATACTGTGGAAATAAGATTATCATGAGAAAATCAGTCTCTGCTTTGATGAAACCAGTCTTGGCTGACTTGAAGGAATTTCTTATATTTGGTGATTCTGTCTTACACATATATTCCAAGAAGATGAGCTTAGTAACTTTGAGTTCAGAATTAAGTATTGCAAGAAAGCTAATAATAATTATTGTTTTGCTGTTATAATAATTTTTATTGTATTCTTTTAGCTGTCAGAAGGCATTTGGAATAAATTCATGATACATCAACAAACAGAAGATACATTTAAGAAGAAGATTAAACTCTGGAAATGTCTATCTGATTTTATTAAGGTATATAATAACATATATGCACGTATATCAAAACATGAAGTTGTGGAAATTAAAAATGTGGGGGGGACAAAGCAGTTGCTCTAACTTTAATTATGTGTGTCGGATATACATATTTACAGTATTAAAATATTACAAATTAACTTCAGAAGTGTAAACTCCCTCTGCGTAAATCTTCAATGCCATTAGAAATTAAAACCCTACTGAGTCTTGAGGATATTCAAATGTTAAATCTTGAAAGTGTAACATTTAACTTCAGCTACAACAAATGTGGAATAAATGGTTCTTATAGTACACTCAGACAAGTTCACAGAATTGGAGTACTTGTAAAAAATTGTTTTAAAATTACTTTTTGGCACAGTCAGTCAACTGGGTCGTGCATAAACAGTGGGCCGTTTTGGTGTCTAGCGGGTCAGTAACTAAGAGAGTAGATTGCACAGAGGCTATGAAAGGTTTAACACCTACACAGTTAGTGATAAGGTTGAGTTGACTCCGCACTGTGGTGTCCCAAAATGATTGTTAGAACACTATCACCGTCTCGGTGCTACACAGCCCGTGGCATGACGGCTCATATCTTGACTTCAGCGAACTGGAGACCTATTAGTTAGTAGTTAGTTAGTACAAATGATTTTCTCCTCCATTATATGGGCATCACGGTTAGGTTTGGGAGGGGTGTATCAGTTGATTTTTATTTATGATTATGTTCCATTTCTTATTTTTGTATGTTATAAACAGTTATCATTCCCACGCTATGGACTATACCTTGTAGGCTCCACTATGAATGGATTTGGAAGTGACAAGAGTGATGTGGATATGTGCCTTCATGTACGACATACTGAAATGGATCAGCGGAATGAAGCTGTTGGTCATCTTGAGCAGATGTTGAAGTGTTTACGGGGCTGTGGTGAGTCTTCTTAAAACAAGTATGTACGAGGACGAGTCAAATGAAAACCGTAAAAAAAAAATTTATTTTAATTTATTGAATGAAAGCGGTACACAACTATATCATTTTTCTACATAGTCTCCATTTCGTTCAATACAGGCCCTCCAGCACTTACGAAGTGTATGGATTCCTCTAGAAAAAAATTCTTGTGGTTGTCTGCGGAACCACTCATGCACCGCCTGCTGTACCTCTTCATCAGAACGGAACTTCTTTCCTCCCATCACCTCTTTGAGTGGCCCAAACATGTGGTAATCACTTGGGGCTAGGTCTGGTGAGTATGGCGGATGTGGAAGACACTCAAAGTGCAAGTCTTGGATTGTTGCCGAGCATTGTCATGTTTCAAAAGGACACCTCTAATGAAAAGTCCACGTCGCTTTGATCTGACTGCAGGTCGAAGATGATTCTTCAAGAGATCTGAATATGAGGCACTGGTGATAGTGTTCCCCCGAGACGTGTAGTGCTCCAAGAGTACGCCTCGTTCGTCCCAAAAGAGAGTCAGCATAATCTTCCCTGCAGATGGCTGCGTCCGGAACTTCTTGGGTTTCGGTGATGAGGAATGACGCCATTCCTTGTTCGTTCTCTTTGTTTCCGGTTGGTGGTAGTGCACCCAAGTTTCATCGCCAGTAACGATTCTCGAAAGTAGCCATCACCTTCTGCTTGAAGGCGCCGCAGAAGTTCTTCACAGGCGTCAACATGTCGTTGGTTCCATTCTGGAGTCAGCTGCTGCGGCACCCACCTTGCAGACACTTTGTGAAACTGGAGCACATCATAAATGACATGGTGTGCTGATCCATGACTCATGTTAAGAATTTCGGCTATTTCATCCACCGACACTCGGCGATTTTCCATCACTAGGGCTTCAACTGCTGCAATAAACTCAGGGGTCACAACTCTGTGCACCTGACCCGGGCGAGGAGTGTCTGCCACAGACGTCACACCATTTCTGAATTTCCTACTCCACTCGTACACTTGCCGCTGTGACTAGCATGCATCTCCATACTGAACCTTCATCCGTCGATGAACTTCAATCGGTTTCACACCTTTACTGATCAAAAAACGAATTACAGAACATTGTTCTTCTTTCGTGCATGTAACTAGTGGAGCAGCCATATTCAAACTGGCACTGTGATGGCGTTCTGTTTGTCTGCATTATACTGCCACTTATAGGATACTCTTTATAGCATTGGTAACATGTCTGCCAACTTATAGGACAATGGCGTGATATTTCGAATTTTTATCTCAGTTTTACGGTTTTCATTTGACTCACCCTCGTATAATGTAAGATTCGAAGTTATCTCGGTGGTGAAAATGTCGGTGTTGGCCTCCTGGGTTTCTTCATGCTGTGTGAACTTGTACGTGGATACTAGAGTTTTCATCTTTGGGGTTGAAGATGAAGGCAGCTTATTCCTCTGTCATTACAACCCAGAAGACACCTTGGACAACCGTGTTAATTTTCCATATTACATTTAATACATCCATAACAACTCAGTTTGATGTGATTCTTCTGTGTTTGTATTGCTTCAAAGTGCCTCATCCAAATGCATATTAAGTGCAGTATAAGCTATAAGAGTCACATTGTGGTGTGTTTATTTTTAAATACTGATATTTTTTACAGGCTTCATAGAACATCCAGAACTAATCCAAGCTAAAGTGCCTATCTTGAAATTCCGTGATACATGCTTCTGTCTGGAAGTGGATCTGAACTGCAACAATTCTGTGGGGATACGCAACACACATCTGCTTTCCTGTTACTCACGAAGTGAGTTCCTTCTAGACAGAAATTCCTTTAATCAGTTTCTGAACATACATTTTTATTGTTTTATTTTTAATTTATAGTTAATTTTGTTGTCTTTATTTTATTATTTGTAATTTTTCACATTTATTCACTTTTTTTCTAAATAGCCTTCTGTATTAATACATATGTTAAAAATCATTCAGTACTTTCATTTAACAATTATTTTCTCACTTTGGGTGGTTTTACAAAGATTTGTTCGTCTATTGGAATTATTTAAAATTGTTGCTCCCTTGATGAGGTTATCCACTTACCTGGCTGTCTTTTGGGTTTTAGAATCATGTATTCTGGTAGAAGTTTACCAACAGGGATATGAGTCTCATTAAATGATTCTATCAGTATTAAAATACAGTTTAATTAGAATGTATTTAGTACTAAAATACTAACAAATGTTAAGCCATAAAACCAGCTCAGGCAGCTGAAGATCTTGTCGTAAGTTCTCATTTAAATCTCATGGCAGTAGGTATGTTAACTTGTCTTTATTTTCAACACAGTTAGTTGGTTTTGTTAACAGTGATTTGATAAGACACATTTAAAAGTATCTGAAATTGGAGGTTGTCGATGTGAAAATGTTAATCATAGTTTTCTAGGTTGAGGCACCATGCAGTCTTTTAGGCGATTACTAGCATTATGGAGCAACACGTAACCACCTGTTAACTGACATAGCATTATAACCTAGAACATCACAGTTGACACACATTGAAATTCATATTAATGTCTTTTGTAGTTAGGTATGACTGATTAGAGCTATGAAAATTTTTCTTGCAGTGGACTGGAGAGTGCGTCCTCTGGTACTCATTATCAAGCTCTGGGCCCACAAACACAATATTAATGATGCAAAGAATATGACAATTTCAAGTTACTCATTGGTGCTTATGGTTATTCATTTCTTGCAGTGTGAGTATTATTACTTTCTTTGTTATTAGTACTTTACATATTAAAATGACACATTGGAGCACATTGCCATAAGTAAATGTTTTTCTTTCCCTTAAGTTAGACCCATTTTTTAATTTTAGGAGTTTTATACTGCATTCACAATGCCATATTAATTGAAAGTAATTTCTGTAACAGAATTTCTGGATTGGATTTCTGGCTGTAACAATGTGAAAAACAAACAACCCTTCTAGATTATCGTATCACATATACATATATTGAATAGCATCTTTCTTCTGTCTCTTACAGTTCCCAGTGCGTTTGTTGCTAAGCAACGGTGACTGGTGATGTCACCCATTGTTCCAGCCAGAGAACCAGGCCATCAATTATTTTTATAAATAAAATACAAGGCACTCTTTTTTTTATTTAACTTTTAATTTTAGCATGCTGCTTGTACTTAAACACAGTGGTGAAGGTAATTCTGCTCTCAGAAAATTTGTTATCTTATAGAACAAAATGATGAAGGGAAGACACTGGTAAGAATTTTAAGCTAATACACAGAATAAGAAGGTTGTAGGATCGATATAATAGCAGGCGTACAGATACCCACATTCATCATATGCGGTTTGCATGTTATGCGAATCTGACAAGGTGTATATAAATTAAATTAAAAAGAATGGAATACAGTGTGATCCATTTTGTATGGGAAAAAATGTAACATTATAAAAATGCTTTATTGCTTAAATGAAACCTTTGTTAACTAGTTGTGTGGTAGTGACAGACTCATATTTTGGTTTTCAAGGTCACCAACCATGACACTCATGATTTCATTTATGTAGGGGTTAGTGACAGACATTGTGTATATTCGGTGACTCACGGACATACCAGATAAAGAAGGGGGGTTAGTGACAGACATTGTGTATATTAGGTGACACACGGACATACCAGATAAAGAATATTGCTGCCAGTTTCCAAGAAGTGGAACAGCATGTGAAAAATTAGGCCTCATGCTGCGACTTGTGCCTGAATAAGCCTTAACACGATTGTCCGTCTCAGTAGGCAAATTATATTAAGTATTGAATCATAGTTAATACTTAATAGTAATACTTAAAAGTAGTTTATATTTTATCCATAACCAAGTGGATCACTCTGTACATAACCACTATAAAGGTAAATTTTTCTCACTTATAACATGAGTAGACCAATTTGTTATTTGTGCATGTAAGAAGACCCATATTTTCTTCTACACAGATTTTAGCATCAGAAGGGATTCAAACTGATGTCTGTCAGATTCATTATATTTAAAAGTTACTAAGTTGCACAGACAGACTGCCATTTTGTGCAATCTACAGTGGGAGGAGAAATTTTTACATAATGAGCACATATTAATTGTAGGTGCATATTCTGTTCAAAGTAAGAATAACCACAGAATTAAATAGTTGAATACTCAAGATGCTTATGTTTTATTGCTGTCAACAGGTGAGCATGTGTTCTTATATTCTGTTTAATTAATTCACAGTTTTGAACATCCATTTTCTGTACATGCATGAGTGTATACAGACAACTATTATCCTTTTGATTGATTTTCCTATCTTGCCTGTTTTTATTAATACATTAATTAATTCCGTGTTGCAGGGTCTTGAAAAATTTATAGTTGCTCAGGTGGTCATCAAATTCCAACATATTTTATGGAACCTGATGTTTCATTTCGGTGTTTGTAAGAGCCCACCATCAGACTGTACCCTTAGCCCTAGATTTTGTTGTAAAATGCAGGGACATTTTTGACTGGTTGAGTGACTGTTAGCTTCTCAAGAAGGTTTGTGATACATGGAATTAGTTATTTAAAGAATATAATAATTACTGGAAAAGGGTCTAAATTTGATATTTTGTCTCTGAGGTACAGATAAATTTTAAATTTGCTTTAGAATTTTATGGTACTTATCTCTTGATTTAATGAAGAAATGCACATAATACAATATATTCATCTTATTAAAAGTCTGAAACTTTTTATCTTTCTGTGTCAAAATATATCTAAAGTTTTACGTATAATTTTGAAATGTCATAATTAATTATGTGAGCTATACCTTTTTTTAGAATACTCAGGATAATTAAGTGGGCTAGATTAGAATCTCACATGGCAGATTAAATAAATTATAAATTGCACACAGTATTTGAGACCAGTATTTAAAAATGTTACAGAATGATGTCTATGAAGCAAATAGAATACATTCAGGTTCACAAAGTGATGAAATCAATTAACGTTTTGGAATATTCATAGACAGAAACCAAAAGTAACTTTTAAAACATACTTTTTGTCAAATTGATTCCTACACTGAAATAAAATAGACGCATATCAGTGGGTTGAAAAACAATATCATAAATGTCATAAATACCAGCAATTTGAAATTAATTTAATTTTGTATTTATTTCTTAAAATAGATAAAGTAAGGTTGACTACACTAATCTGAAATAACTTTTCTGGAATGTTATAGTAAAGATGTCCAGTCACTGTTCATTTAAAGTTGAATGTACTTGAGGTATATAAAATCTGTATAATTTATTTTGTGTTTCAGACCCTTCTCCATTATGTTTTAGAAGCACTGCATTCTCAATATTGTAGCAGGTACTGAAGGACTGAATGAATCTGTATTTCTACAGGTGGTGTTACCCCTCCAGTACTCCCGTGCCTGCATGGAATGTATCCGGGTAAATTCACCCCACATTCCGACATCCAGATGATAGACATCTATGAAGACTTGCCACCTTTCAACTCAGATAACAGTCAAACATTGGGAGAGCTTCTGCACGACTTTTTGCGCTATTACGCTGAATTTTCGTGAGTGATATTTCATACATTGCCCTCGGTGGACTAGTGGTTAGCGTGCTTGCCATTGGACCCAAGGTTCGCGGGCCAGACCAGTAGCACGGTGGGATGGAATTGTTAGTTGTAACTCATAGCAAATACTAGGCTGTACTTCCCATGTATATTTATTTTATTCACATGTATGTGTTTATCAGTAACATGTCTAGGGAGTGAAATGTATGGTTTGTTTGTATTGATGAACTTCACTTTTGTTTTCCTGCTTCACGCTTCTTCGTGAAAGGAGCTAAAAATCTGTGCTGACGTGAATCCTTATTTCAGCTTCAGTCAGTATGCCATGTCTGTGCGGTTGGCATCCCGCGTACCAATAGAAGAATGTCGTAGAGCTCGTACGTACAAAAATGACCCCCATCAATGGAAATACCTTTGCATTGAAGGTAAGAGATTTGTTAACCATTCTTAATAGAGCACATAGGACGGAATTAAAATTAAAATATAAAATTATAAATAATAACATTCATCACATTATCTGTTCTTATCTCACAGAGCCCTTTGATCTCACCAACACTGCTCGATCTGTGTATGATCGGGATGTATTTGAAAGGATAAAAGCAGTGTTCCAAGCTTCATACATCAGCCTGAAGAAAACACGTGATATTGAGAGTATATTCCTCTTAGATGATAAGGATTAAGATGTGTTAAATTATGTTTGTCTTTGCCTCAGAATAATTCTACCCAGACAGGAAGAAAATGGCAGAAAGACAAATTTGCATATTTCTTGGCACGTTTTCTATAGTGTTGATATCACATTGTGAATGTGTGGAAAGCGTTCCTTACAGTTTTAAGCCTTGTTAATGAATGGTGTTTGATATGGCCTCATGGTACAACAACAGGTAGCACCAATAAAGGAAAATAGAAATGTGCCAATGATGGTGTAGAGAGAAATAATACGAACTAGTCAATCATGAAATTAATACTTGACTGTGATTAAGGTTGAAGCTTTAAACCTAAAAGAGAAAGCATTTGAATGTTTTGTTCATTTATGTGATAATAAAGGTAATATTTTGTTGCCCTGAAGACTGAGTAACATCAGTAGGAGACCGGAAAGATAATCGAAGGTAAAAGATCAAGGAAAGTTTTTTGACTAAAGAATGTATCAAAATTTGTTACAACTTTGTGTCTTTGCTGGGAAGGTAAGCATTTTAATTTTTAACAAAATATAAGTTATTCTTTGTTTTTAAAATGTTTTGTATAACACTTTTCCTTGGAGATATATAAAATTTAAAAGAGTCTAAAAATGTAAAAACCCTAAAATTTGGTGCCCTGAAAATGGTAAGGACACCACAAAAAAAATTGCAGTTTGTAAAAGTGACGTGCGATAGCCATTGACAATTATAAAAATAACAATCATGAAAATATGCAAAGAACATTCAGAAACGTTTTTAATCACTGCAGAGTTACTGATGTTATTGTCCAAGAAATCTCTGCATATAAAACTAGTTGAATATTGCGTATGAAAGAGCCTGTAACTTTGTGTCGCATCTGTTGCAGTATGATGAAATTGGAAGTAGGTGTAAATGGTTTTAAATTGTCATTAGCATTAGCATTATTTTAAAGATCTGAGAAGAAATTAAACAATAATCAGATGCATGTGTTCTGTGCTCAGAGAAAATTATTCAAACAAATGTGATGTTTATTTCTGCATGTTCGTGTAAAATGTGAGAAGTCTTGATAGCTGAGACCTGAGTATTAAATTTGTTGTAGTATCATACATGGCACCTCACAATAACGCATTCATTTTTGTCATTAGTAAGTAATGAAACAAAAAATAGCAATAATTATGATTATTATATGTGAACTGGCAAAATATGATGAGGTTTATGTACTTTATCTGATTGCTTTTCATATTGTTTCTGTTAGTGATTTTAATCTGTATTTGTTCTGTGCATTCCTCGTAGTAATTATTAAACAAAACGTGATTTAATGGTATACTGTAAAATCCCGTCAGTATGGCTTGCCATTTGACTGAGTAAAATATTTGTAGTTTAGATGTACTGTAAAGACTTGCACAGGATTTAGTAATTTTCTGGCTAACATTATTGGTGATATAAAATAATCATTTTGGAAAGGAATTTCTTTATAGAGACAAGCTAAGCAACATTTCAGTTATTGAAGTCAATTACAAAAATATTTGTTTGTCAAGATGGTGCTCAGTTATTTTTCTATAAAAACCAGTAAGTCTCTAAGGGTGAATGTATGTATATATATGTATACACATATATATATATTTTAGGTCTGTTATGACATGTGATTTTCCAGGGATAGATCGGAGCAACGGAAGGTCTAGGAAGCTGCTTCATGTCGCTTTTGAGTCCGAGCAGTGACTCCTTTGTTTTCATGTCTGTTTTGGTAAACAATTTAAGCAATTCAGTAATTTGGCAGATGTGAGTGTGTGTCTAGCCTGTGTCGTTATAACAATTTCCTATTAATTTTGCAGTGTATTTAAAGTATTTGTTTAATCTACCAGACTTAGAAGTGTGATAACCATAAATAAACACCTGTTTATGTGACCAGTGTTATCTACGTGATACGTAATTAAGATTTTGATATTACTGTTTGTTGCATTGAGATTCCGTTGCCTACTTTAAGATTGTTCCATTCTTGGAGCAGAAACAGTAATTCTGTGACTGTACTACCAAGTATGCACTCAGGTTATCAGCCATAAAGAGAATCTTGCTGAAGTTATAATCAGTTTTGATGAAATCATGATATGAAACATTCAAGTGTCTTACATAATCTGTATATATAAGTGCCAAAGATTATGTTCTTCATTGAATCTTTTCTGAATTAATAAATTAAAAATTGCTGGTGTTTGTGTTTGTGGTCTGTTATAAGGCATTTACATATTCAATCAGGTTGTCTGAATAGAATAATTAAAAATGATTGTTTTGTTATTGGTATTCTTTTCTTATAATTTTGGTTAACTCTTTTATAAATTTTAATTGAGACAATACAAAATACATAGTGGTACAGTAATTGTATGTTAGAGTGAATGAATGTTTTCAATGTTTTGAGTTGATAGTTGATGGATGAGGTCTTTAGTGGAATCATTATTACTGTTCATTGAGCAAAATGGGAGGTTTGTTATTGGTATGTGATCTGATTATATTAACTTTGAAGCATGGCGAGTTTATACTATCAGTTTACTGTTTAAAAAAGATTTTTTTTTCTGTCACTGGATACCATGGGTTTTGGGTAATGATGTATTTTGCGTGGTTGCTCTTTTAATCTGCCTAAACATTCCCAATATATGCTGTCATTCATCCATATCACATGAACAGGTTATCGGATAAAGATGTAGTAGTTTTAAATGCCTATATTTAATTTATTTATTGCACCTACACCACTGGTTCTATTATCACAAGCGAATAAAGCACAGGAGATTTTATTAATGTAAGAATATATTCAGTATATGATCCCTGTACATCCAATATCATTTACAGACATCGACTAACTTTTTCCATAAACACAACTGGTGTTTCCAAAGTGATACTTCGGTGATATTTGCTGTCAGTTCTTCAACCGTTCAACCCTTCAGGAATTCCATAAGAAATAATCACAAGGATTCAAGTGCAGAGAGTAATGTAACAGATCATCCAGTTCCAAATTGCTCAAGATATCAGAATTGACCCTATTATGGAAATTTTCATTTAGAAATGAATTTCATTCACTGTATGTGGCTATATCCCCATTATTAGAAAAATGTTTCATCCATATTTACTTCCAGTCCCCGAAAAGTTGAACAAAGTGGTTATGAAGGTGTTTTAAGTAACATTCATCATTCATTGTGTTGTCTGAGAAGACTGGGTGAACAATCTCAGCGGTTAAATAGCTAGGAGGTATCACTCACTAACTGATAATTTCATAACTGACATTCTGTGACATTAAATTTGTTAATGTTGATGTAGCCCATTAATAAATATAGGCAATTAAAACTTCTGTGTCTTTTTTATGACTATTTCATTATATGGCAGGATTGTCTCATACAATTATTATTAACATTTATAGATATGATTTTTTTAATGATTGGCCTTCTTGAATAAAGTATCTGTTCCAATTATATCCTAAACACTGAAATAAATTAAAGTGCATACTTTTCATAAACACCAGATAGAGAATTTGTTAGAGTAAAAAAATAAATATCTCATGTCTGTGTCTTGAGGTCAACCATGCAGTTTTTACAAGAGTTTGAGACTTATCTACTGATTTGTAAGTAATTATGAAATAAAGCTATCAACAGTCCATCAAATGATAGCTAGAGGGATAATTAATAGTATATTGAAGGCCTTAGGTAAATATATACTCATTAAATTATTTATTTATTTATTTTGCCTTTTTTATCTGTTTGTTACAAACTATTATTCTTGTATTCCTGAAGAAATGTTCGTGGGCTGTACTGATTATGAGATTATTAATATATTTAGCAGAACAACTGGAATAAATATCATTATGAAAGATGGCTTGTCATATCATCATCAGTGTTTCATTACAAATGTTAGCCAAGGCATGATAAAGTGTGACATAGTATGCAATATAAGAAACACTGCCAAAATTATATCTTGTAGTTTCCATATTTATGGGATATCCAAACTAAAACTGTTTCTTTAAGCAATGATCTTTGTAACCTTTATATGACAAATACGTGTTTCATTAGCTATATTACCTTCTAAGGCAGCATAGAGATTTTATATATTTTCTGTTTCAGAGATTTAGGGGTGGTCACTCATATCAGAAGTTAAGAACTAGAATATAATACATGCATTTGATACCATCACACCTCCTTGTGCTGAGAGGACATTGACTACCTTCCTCATGAAATTGGTCCTTTTATATAATCTGATATATTCTACTTAGCAGTTTAGGTTAGGTTGTCACTGGGTTGTATAGAACAATAATGTGATGAGTGGTTACTCATCAGTATTTAATTAATGTTCCAGGGATACTAATTTGTTTTGACTACTCCAGACGCTATATTGACATGCTAGGAAGTTACTGTATATGTATAAGAGGAGTGGCTTGCAATTAAGGAGCTATATTGTCTGTAAACATCTGATATTCTTCACGGTTTATGACTGGTAAAAAAGAAAACATTCTTCAGTGTGTTCACTATAATATCACTATAGGTTATGTGGCCAATGTACAGCTTCATATGTAGAGATGTAGAAGATTTTTATGGAGATGTTACCAAAAGGCTGATTCAGAATTAAATTTATAGAACTTAACAGGATTATAAGGGTACTGGGACCTAAGACATAAGAATATATTCAAAATATCTGAATTTAGAATTCTTATTTATCTACTGTAATTTCTACATATGATGTTACTTTTGTAGACTTACTCTTTAGGGATGTTTGAAGTATTGATTTGGTAGTAATCGTTTTCTCTGTGATAGTTTGTCCATCTACTAATAAAATGGCACAGTGAAAATGGCTGTCTTCTGGGTCATTGCACCATGTAGTCTGGTAGAAGCTTACCAACATTTTAGACGTGCTTGTTGTCTCCTTCATTACGGTGATGACCTCTAAAATGTCAGGAAACTTCTACCAAACTACATAACACCACAACCCAGAAGACAGCCTTCATACTTGCTGTCATGAGAACCTCAAATCTCAGAAATTACATATTGTAGTTCTTAACCTCCTTGTTCATGTTCTGGAAGTTACTGATTTGTGTTTGGCCTTGAGACAGACTGTTCATATTGATAGATTTTGTTTTCCTCAGAATATCCAGAAAATGCTGTTATAATACATTAAATACAAGCATACTTGATGTACTGCCTTACAATTCATAGTAATTCTGTTTGTGCATTTTTATGAAATTCCTACTAGATAATATTTGAAACACTTCCAACATCTCTAACACACATAGATATCTTGTCTTTATGGATCCATGCTCCAATGTATAAAAAATAGAACATACAATTAAAGAACTTTGGTCCACTTGAACTTCTATAGTCTGGCAACCTTTGAATGTGGGCTGTGCCGGGCCATGTATCTTGTACCATGAGAGGTAAATTCAACAACTATGTAAAATACAGTAATATGAGCTACATTTAATACACCTATATAAATAAAAATATTTTATTTCATGCAAAATGATCCATTCCCCATTCTTGTTTGTGTTGCAGAACTTGGTACTTTTTCCTTCTGACATAAATTGCTGATGTGCATACATGTATGTTTTATTAATTGTTGCATGACAGGTACCCTGACTGACAAAATGGGATCCAGCAAAGCTCGGAGCACTGCCAAATCAAAAGTGTCCATTTCAATAAATACAGCAAATAATACAAGTTTCCCCAAAAATGACACCAGGAATCTTCCTGAATCATAGGACTTCACATGCCATAAAATTTTGGACTAAAGGAGTTCAAGTATTTGTGAAGTGGGAAAGATGAGAAAAATCAGAGCATTGTACTTGATGAAAATAAAAGAGAGAGTAAATTCTAAATAGAACTTCATTCCTGTATGCTGTAGATGAATTTGCATAATACAATATTAAAGTTGTATCTTCATGGATGAAGGAATAATTGTAATACTTCTAAAACTTGTCCATGGATGGAGATATGTTCTATTTGTGCTTTCTCTGCTGTCTATGGGTAAGTTCTACACTAACTCATGGAACAGAGTCCTTTGTAGGAAGCTAGTTCAGATAGTTAGATTCCTTGTCATAGATCCTGAAGGTTCACTATTTTTACAAGAGCTTGGCACTGAACCCAGATGAATCTAATCCAAATTCTCACTCCTGCTTGCAAAAGGTCAAGTTTTGCCTTTGAGGTGTTCAGTAACAACCTTATATACATTTTAGTCTTTGTTGCTGCAACATGTGATCCTAACAATAGTTGGTGAAATGTATGCAATTTTTACAGATTCCTGTCACTTCCTCCCTTTTAGATCCAAATGTTCCCCTGAGAACCCTGTTCTCAGATACCCCCAGTGAATGTTTTTCCTGTGAGAGACCCATACAAAACAAGAGGTAAAACTGAACTGCATACTTCATCATAAGGGCAATGAGGGCAGGAAGCATGTTTGAAATGTTGGTAAATTTATACCAGACAGCATGGTGCAATGTCCCACAAGTCTGTCATCTTCATAATCAGTACTGATAAAACTAGAAATCCTACAAACAGGTCTAGAGGCTGCTTATATTAGGAGGTAGGACTGTTTCCAGGCCATCAGTGAGATTTCTTACTCAGAAATAATGGATATTTTTAGCTGTGAACTTTTTTCAGTATTAGTAAAAATTAATTCTCTTGCCCTTTCTTGAAATTTTACAGATTTTCTACCATGGAAATTATAAACTGCTATTAAAATCAGGTTTCTGGGTTGTATGTTGATGAAACTCAAATGAAATAATTTATCTCAAAGACTTTGGTTATCCCTGCAAGATTACATTGCATGGAGACCCACAAAGTCATAATGGATAAACTTTGTTGGAAATGCATCGAACCAAGTACTTCCCAGAAATATCATTCTTCGTGTTGGAGAACAAATATAGCACAAATGTATGGTCATTTAGGCAATGGAAAACCAATGTTTTCTCACTTTAAAAGACGTATCACAGATAACTCAATAGTCCTGACATGGCTTGCGCACTGTTTAGTGATCTTCAAATATGGCGTATCGAGGAATTAAGGGCTCCGATCCGTTTGCTTCAAAAACAACAAGAAATGAAAGATTTGCGCAAATGTCGAAGCAAGAACAACTTATTGAACAAAAGAAACGAGAAATACAAGCAAAATTAGAAGACCAGAAGAAGAAGGAAACTGAAGAAGCATTGAAAAAGTTGCAAGGTGCATCTGGTAATTCCAGAAGCACAGGAAACAGATCGAACTCCCAGGCAGGGCAGCATAAAGGGGGAAGAAAACCGTTTTGGAAGAGGTAAGTTGCAGTTTTCACATTCGTACTTTATGTCTGTGCCCATACATCCCTTCTTGTTGCATTCATTTCTCACGACTGTGCACGTTATAACGAATGTGTGGTTTTAAATAACGTGAATTAAATTAACTCGGCCCAAATCAATATAATCATTTTATACATTTCTTCTACATATACATTTCGTATGAAACCTGGATCTGGCCGGAACTTATGCAGCTTATAACATAAAAAGTATTAATATATTAAAAATTATCCATCCAAAGGATGCCCAGAATATCTGCATTACTGTACAACACAGCCTGAGGAAATAAACATATTCTCTCCAATTTCATATGAATTAAGTGATCAGACGGTGAATATGTTACTTTTATTTTACGTGTAGTAGATGTGGGAAGAGCAAATGTGTAGCTATAGGTAAGGAAAGGTGGGATTTCTTCAGATTATGCACCTCTTCATGTCTGAAAAGTTGGATGGCTGCAGAGTTTATATGATTGTTTCAGTAAGAACATATAAAATGTGCAGAAAACTTCTTGTGCATTGCTTTCATTACGTGTGTTTAAAAGTATTGTTATGACTAACGACTTGTGATGGCTGCAAATCATTGAGATGAATGCAGAAAAAATCAGTATATAAGTAATAAGTTCATGATTTGTATCATGAGTCATTTTGTATCAACATATAATTTGGCACATATAGTGGACTCTTAAATGAGTTCATTGTTCTTACTCTTTACTCCCTCTTAGCAATTTAGACCAGCGATGGAAGCGAGATTCTTCACATTCAGAAGATACCAGCAGTTCCAAGGCTTCATCATCAGTGAACATATTCTCGAATGATGGAAGTTTCCTAGATCAGTTCAAGAAACTTTCTGGTGTAAAGGGTAAATCAGAAGCATATAATTTTAATAGCATGTGACCTTGTTTTAAATATATTTGGGTTTCTTGGTTTCCTTCCATTGAGTAGTTTAATGTGTTATGTAATAGTAAAAATGCATATAATATTTTCTGTGCATGTTATGTGCCTTGTTTCGTGGTTTATTCAGCGGTAAAAAGTTACATCAATTTTCTATGGCACTGACTGAGAAATGGCATTGTGGTTATGGCTGATGAGTTATGAAGTGGTTGTAGTTTCTTAAGGGGTACAGGCAGGTACTGAGGTAATCTACAGAAATCTCAGCATAACTCATTGTTACCAAACTTTTATTCTTCTCTGTCTCTCATTAGGCATCCACTTAATGTTCCCAAACCTCGTGCTTTATGTGGTATAAATACAAGCCTGAAACTAAGCTATTCAATTGGAACATTAGTTTCTTAAAAACAAAATAATTAGAGCAAGACCACAGGTACCATTAGTTTTAGAATTTGCTTTAAAATAAGAATTAATCCGTGACCTCCCGGAGGATTTTGTATGGCTTTAGGTAGCTGGTCTCCCAGCTGAGATTCGAACTGAACATAACCTAAATTTGAAGAATAAATTCTAACAGAGAACGAATTTTTCTCCGGTGTTTATAGATGGTGATCTTGGTTGTTGCACATGCTCTGTGTAGTATTTTGGTGATGTACAACATTTTAGAGCAAATTGTGATTAGCCCCGATAGGGTAGTACCTTAGTCTGAAATACTGGTACACTGCCAAAATGTTACAATGCACAACAACCCAGAAGATCATTGATATTCACGTTGCCATGGAAACCTCAAATCTTAGTTTGTGTTGCTTGATTTTTATTATAATTCTCATTTCAGAAGTTAAGTCCAAAAAAGGAGATGATTCTTCAGTTACAAATAGTATTGTCACTAGTGACACAAAAGGTTCAGCTTCTACCTCCGGGACTTCAACTTCCCGTAAAGGTGATTCAGGTATAGCTAACGTTATGTTAGCGGCTATTATGCATGCAGGTTTTAAAACAGGTTATGAAGTATCTTGTATTGCTACTGTAAATTGTGTTTATATTGAATACCTCGAAGTGCGCTTAGTAACAGTGTACAGTGGTTCCTTGTCCGCTGCAGGGGTTACAGTTTAATTGGTGTCAGGATTAAACCAGCCACAGAATTATTCTTAGTCTTAATTGGGTTGAAAAAAATGTAATTGTTTGCTTCAGATACAGACTGGGGTACGTGGGGTTCCCCGACCGAGAAACGGGCCGAGAAGGAAGACGAGCGTATGGAAGGAACTGAACGTAATGCCAGTCAGGACCAGGCAGAAACTGAAGACAGGGACGTGAATAAGGACCAGGACAGAGACCTCACGAATGAGGACCTGCACAACAGCGAGCGTCTGGGCACGTCACATTGGTTTCAGCAGAAGCGCATCAGCAGTGGTTCTTGGCAGCAGCAGGGGCAGGATGAGTCTGGGGTAGCTTGGCATGGGCAGGATTCACCTTCACCTCCACAATCACGCTCTGCTACTACTGCCCCAAATAGACCCTCCTCTCCGTATTCCCCGTCGAGCGCTACGGACACCAAGGAAGTAGTTCCTCTCATAAACATAACGCCATCCGCAAGAAAGGGTCCAATTCAATACTCACTTCCCAGTATTCATCCTTCCTCAATCATGCCTCTTCTTAACCCACCACAGCAGCACTTCATGACGTATTCTTCCCCTCCACCCCCTCTTCATAGTATCCCTCCGCCATCACCCATGCAGCCTCATACAATTCCTACACCTCCACCCCTTGCTCCTGCATTAAACCTCCACCCTTCTCGAGGTCAAGTCATTCAGCAGCCCCCACCAGCGATACAACAGCCACCCCCAACATTACAACCCCCACCTTCTATGCAACCAATCTCTCCTCATCTCATGCAGCATCCGCCACCACTACTGCAACGTCATACATTTCCACCACCTGCAGTTCTTCAGACTCAAACTTTGGGACCAGCACGTCCACCAACATTGATGACACCCTTGTTACAACACCCTCTTCCTCCCCCAGGTCTGCCACCTGCTGCTTCTGCCCCTGCCTGCCCGCCACCCGCGGCAGTCCCCGGCATCCGCAATTCTTCTGGAACTGGAGGTAACTAACAGATGAGCTTCACCCATGCGTGAGCTTGGGTGGGCATTTCTCTTGATCATATTCCACCTGGAGTGAGTCTGGCGGACAGAGACTGTATGGTGCTGTGTTGACCGGAGTTTACTAGTCTCTTCAGCAGCCGTGGGAGTTCCACAAGCCGGCGGGCCAATCAGTGGACAATCCAATAATCAGCGGGCAGATCGAGCTGCAGACGAGGCCGTGAACCATCTGGCTCGCACGGTGGCTCAGTGCGGCGATGACATAGAGCAGATCATTCTCACTCGCAATCCGGACGATCCCGCACTCTGGTAAGTAATTCGTGAAAATGACTTAATTTATTCTGATGCAATGGTCTCTAAATAATAAAGAACGGAAAAATATGGATGCGTCTCAGTTGATCGTCGGATGCGAATGTTAAAGCGTGACTCTGCTACAATTCTAGTTGCCATAATCTTATTACTGTCACCCGCGGCAGTCCCCGGCATCCGCAATTCTTCTGGAACTGGAGGTAACTAACAGATGAGCTTCACCCATGCGTGAGCTTGGGTGGGCATTTCTCTTGATCATATTCCACCTGGAGTGAGTCTGGCGGACAGAGACTGTATGGTGCTGTGTTGACCGGAGTTTACTAGTCTCTTCAGCAGCCGTGGGAGTTCCACAAGCCGGCGGGCCAATCAGTGGACAATCCAATAATCAGCGGGCAGATCGAGCTGCAGACGAGGCCGTGAACCATCTGGCTCGCACGGTGGCTCAGTGCGGCGATGACATAGAGCAGATCATTCTCACTCGCAATCCGGACGATCCCGCACTCTGGTAAGTAATTCGTGAAAATGACTTAATTTATTCTGATGCAATGGTCTCTAAATAATAAAGAACGGAAAAATATGGATGCGTCTCAGTTGATCGTCGGATGCGAATGTTAAAGTGTGACTCTTCTACAGTTCTAGTTGCCATAATCTTATTACTGATGAGCCGACGTAGCTCAGTCAGTATAGTGACTGGCTACGGGCTGGACGACCGGGGTTCGATCCCCGACGGGGGGAGAGGATTTTTTCCTCTGCGTCCAGACCGGCTCTGGGGCCCACCCAGCCTCCTCTACAATGGGTACCGGGGGTAAAGCCGGCCGGGGCGTGATGCTGACCACTCACCCCCATCTAGTGCCGAGGTCAAGGAAGAGAGGAGCTATACCTCCTCTCACCCCAAACGCCTACATGGCGTGTAGTGGGACAGAAAAAAAAATCTTATTACTGAGTGTATGTCTCCCCAGTCAGACATTCCACTGTATAATTTATTCATGAAAACTGAACAAATGGAAAAATTTTCATATTTACATGCTTTTATGTGTCAGTATGTCATTTGTGCTTCTTGTTCCTACCCGCAACACTTACCCCCTCTTTATTTATTTATGTGGATGTTACCAGGTTTTGTTTTAGATGTTATATTGTAAGAGTTCGTGGAAACGTAATCTTAAGAGATCGAGGTTCTTAAAGCAGTGAAGACGTGATATTTGGTCCTTTGGTTTGTAACATTGTGCATGCATACCAACATTTTGGAGAAACACGTTTGCCTCATTTTGACGCCGAAGACGGGGACTATGTTTCCCTGAAGCGTTAGTATTTGCTTGTAAGTCCACATGGCATTTTTGACGCCGAAGACGGGGACTATGTTTCTCTGAAGCGTTAGTATTTACTTGTAAGTCCACATGGCATTACTGCTGAGACAATCATCTTTGACAAGATAGCCTTAAGTTTTAAAGTATCGTCTTCATGTCGGAAAGATTGAGCCCCATTTCTGCTATTCGTTGGGCTTTTGATGTTGCGATCCCTAATTGTATGACTCGTCTGTACAGAAATTCACTGATGTCTTGTAATATTTTAGTGTGGGAAACTACTTGAATGCACTTTGGTGCTGAAGTAGGGAGCTGTCTCAAATTTCTGTACACAGGTTTCTGCATGATAAGGGGTGCGCTGCATATCTGCAGTACCGACAGTTAGTGGAAAAAATTTGTACGGAAATGAAGAGCACAGACAGACGTGAGGATGCGGCCAACGATGAAAAAAAAGATGAGGTGGGAGGATGTTTGAAACAAGAGCATAATGAGTATGGGCCTATTAATTTCCAACAAGAGAACAGTTTCTTGGTCAATAGATCCATAAAAAGGGAGCAGGCTGACGATAAGACTGCAGTTAAGCAGGAGGATGTAAGAGGCTGTAGACAGGATCAAGAAGACGACAGTTCACGTCAAAGCGAAGGTATCTAAAACTTCTAATCAATGAGAAACTTTAATATATTGCCATTCTCAGGAATTTTAATATCAAATGTGTATTTACAACTTATTAAAAACAAGTCAAGTGTGAGATACATTTTCTACCAAACACCTGTCTGTGACGAATTTGTGTCCCTGTTTAGCATCCAGTAAGCGTTCTGGTGATGACAGTGATGAAGGGCAGGCTACTGTAGCGCACAGACGTAAGCGGCGTAGCCGCTGGGCTCCTGAAACTGAGAAGGTGACTGTCATGCCAGAAACTGGTGGGAATGGGCCTGCCGTCACCATGACCCTGGGATTAGTTCAGCCAGTTGTAGCAGGTGTGTAGAACTCCAGCCAGAGCGCTACAGGGTCAGAATTTGTATTCTTCTATTATTATGACCTGATGTTGAAATATGAGTTTGGAATAAGCAACTTTATTAACTGGCGTAAGAGACCGGTTGAAATTCATCAGGGAGTGATTTTTATAATGCTGATAAATAGGAGTTTTGTTGTTATTTGCTTTATCTACAGGAACAGCATCTTCAGCTGCTCCACAGTTCCTTAGTAAAGTTACGCGCACAGATCCTGCACTTGTCCAATATGCAATACAGGCTTTTGGCACAAGTAACTTGTCCGAAGACGACTGGAAGAAGGCAGAGGATCATTACAAGGTAAAGTTTATATACTTTTGTTATGTACGTGAATTATCATATACAATATATGGTTTATCCCTCAGAGAGTTGTGTGTACAGCAGGTACTCTTTTGTGCCACGAGCCGTCGTAGTTCAGTCAGTATAGTGACTGGCTACAGACTGGATGACCGGGTTTCGATCCACAACGGGGGCAGAGGATTTTTTTTCTCTAGCCTCTGTGTCCCGTTCTGGGGCCCACCCAGCCTCCTATCCAGTGGGTACCACCGAATACGGACCGGAGAGCCATAGAAGAAGAAGAAATGAAGCCATGACTATACTCTGTGGGCGAAATGCAGAGTTACTGATTGATTTTAAAATACGGTAGTACGTGTAGTCACCACTTGGTTTTGAAGGGTTAATACGTAATACATGGTGTATTTTTGTACAAGGTAGAACTGATCCGTGAAAAATTAAATATATTTTAAAGTTCTTTACAGTTTTAAACAATCTGATTACGTAAACATCCGTGCATGAGTCAAACTTCTGTATCTCTTGTGTGCAGATTAATCTCTTGTATCAAGACATGCTTCGTAAGCGACAGGAGCTGGAACGGCTGCAGCGTGCCGGCAAATTCAAATATGAATATGACAGCGATGAGGAGACAGATGGAGGCACGTGGGAACATCGTCTGCGATTGCAGGAAATGGAGGCCACCCAACGTTGGGCCGAAGAACTGACCAAGAAGGCGGAAGGTAAACATCACATAGGAGACTTTCTGCCGCCAGATGAATTAGAGAGGTTTCTCGAAAAGGTTAGTAACAGCAGTTTTGATTTATAACGGAGAACGAAAGTTCAGCGTTCTCTCGTTTTAATGTTGTAACTTTTACCTTGTGGATTTTCATGTGATTCAGAATTTTATAACTTCTGTGAAACCCAGGAAATTATGAAGTTATGAGAGAAAGGGGCTAAAGGTTCATTTTAAAGGAAGGAAATGAACTTAAATTGGGTTGTAAGTGCTCATAAATTGGAGAAACAATCACCCACCCCCACAAACAAGAAAACTTTGTATATCTGCAGTTCAGTGTGTGACTTTTCCTATTTATTTGTGGCTTGTTTAATGATGCTGTTTGTCGTTCAGATTACATGGCGTTGAGACTTTTGTTGTTGTATGTGCTGGTGTGCATTTGTCATCTGGTATAATATTTAGAAATACTAGCAGTCCTGAGATTCAATGGGGATAGATTCCTGAAAATTTTGTTGCACGTTTAACGCTGTTTTCACATAGGCTACATTTTTTTTTTCCTCCAGTTCGCACCATTCAGCATGGTGTGCATTGGTGATTAGTAGGATTCACGACCCATCAGTACATGGGTTAGACCGTGACCGCGACATTTAACGCTCCTGCTGTGAACCCCCTTTTTTTGCGAAATGATGATGAAAGTTGAGTAATTGTTGGGATGCCACGGAGAAACCGGGGAAACCCCGGAGGAAAACTCCGTGATGCCTGGACCACGGCCTTGCCCAACACAAGTT